AAACTGTGCCTTGCAGAGAGTGTCTTGCATCATCAGTGGTTCTAGAAACAGATTTAGCGAATTTAGATTGGTAAAAGACAGCTGGAAACACCAAAGCTCCTAGGCTCCGACACAGAACAGCACGGATAGACGCGACCAGATAAAGTTTCTAAACGTAAAATTCTAAATTCTATGAGAAATTCCTAAGAAGACGCTGTAATGGTTCATCCAACATGTTGCTATTTCCATCTGCTGTTTTGTGAAGACTCGAACTTTTAAAAAAAAGGTTGTAAAATTCTAATTCTAAGCGATAGGAATCATACGATCTTGACGTTTACATGTTGTAATTGTATTCGTAATATCGAGCATCATATAGTGCTATCAACTTACGGTTTAAAAAATTTTGCAGGATACCCATAATACTGTGAAACTGCCCGAATTCAAGAAACCTAATAGTACAATAAAATCAGTCAGTCATCATTATAGTGTCTATCATAACGAAGTTTTGTATTTAAGATACTTAGAGCTACACACCTGTAGCAACCTTAATATCGATCTAATGGGGGACATTCGCTGTTCTGAAGCGGTTTAACTGTGTTTAACCTCATTCGATGCAGTTTCTTTCGCTGATCACGAATATGTGGTTCCGACATTTTTTGGAATTTTTCTTCCGGGTGAAAAAGGCCAAAAACTAAATCTTGATCGAGTCCTCGAAAAAAATCGAGATTCCGGAAAAGCTTCATAACTTTTCCCCCTGATGTTGCACTAGTCTGCGGTTTCAATATTCGGATTCAGCGTTGAGAACTGATTCTAGCCATGTGCTTTTTAGTGTTCGAAATCTTCGAGTGGTTTTTCGGCGTAGTCCAGACTCCAAAGATCCAAAATTTTCTCCCAAACTTTTCAAGTCCCCGTGGGAAGATCGTAGAAGCAAAAACTTGATACCATTCGACACGCCTTGAAAAGCTCTACAAAGTTATACGAGCAGTTTTTTGAGAGAAAATTTCTTTCAAAAATTATACCTCATTTACTAAAGTCCGAGTCAAACGCCCAGAACCCTTTTCACCAACTTTTCGAGTTTTTATTCGATTGACGTTCTAATGGTAAAAAATGATGAGGAAGACGATAATGCTATTGTCCAGAACTATAGTGGGTCTTCAGTGGATCTTCAAAGGATTTCTAGAGGGTTTTTAAGAGAGTTATGTAGTATGGAAGGAGAAGGGAAGACCCGGTGTGTATAAGATCTTGTGTGACATAAATAACCTCAAATTTCAGATTTTTTGTTAACGTGAGTGGTACGTAGTGGTACAGTAGAAAAAAATGAAAATATGAAGTAGAAAATAGAGTTTAAGATTTTCTTTCAAACTCGCAACCTCGTAAACTTTAATATGATCAAGATCCTGAGAAGATTTGAAAACTTTGTCTAATGAACAAAATCCTTGCTAACAAAGAAAGTTAGCAATCATATTAATTACGACATGGTTGGCGCCAGAAATCAAGGTAGGTGGTTGCGTTTTGAATAACTATTGACAGGAATGAGATAGAGACCTGCGGTTTTCATTTTTAAAAACTAGACACCTGACCACATATTTCTGTGAGCAAAAGCGAATTTCTGAAAATTTTCTTAATCGAGTTTTCCAGAAGATCTTTGGAAAACTAGCTTGAATTTGCCGAAATTCACATAGGAATGTATTGATTGTTTTCCATGAACTGATAGCCCTGGGTGTTCTCTTTAAAACGGGAGTAAAGTGAGACCTTGATTTTCCGCGCTTCGGGCGTTGTATAGGATTTCTGACGAGTCCCAGGACTGGCACCCGGTGACTCTTGAGAGCCTTAAAGACGGATGATCTATGGGTCCTCGCCTACAAACAGGATATAGAATAGCTTAAATATTCTATATTCTGAAGTTTTGAGCTTGCGCTGATTTCTTTTGAGTACGCAGTGAACTTTTTAATATTAAGTGACAACAGCCTGAAAGCCCCAATTTTCGTAAAACTGGCTTTTCGCTAGAATTTTAAAACTTTTTCTAAAAGACAATATTATCACGAGACTCAGCATGGTCGATTAGCCATAGTCGATCCGTCTTTAAGGCTCTCAAGAGTCACCGGGTGCCAGTCCTGGGACTCGTCAGAAATCCGATACAACGCCCGAAGCGCGGAAAATCAAGGTCTCACTTTACTCCCGTTTTAAAGAGAACACCCAGGGCTATCAGTTCATGGAAAACAATCAATACATTCCTATGTGAATTTCGGCAAATTCAAGCTAGTTTTCCAAAGATCTTCTGGAAAACTCGATTAAGAAGAACGGGATATACCGTATTTAGCTGCTGGTCTATATTCCGTTACTGGAAATAGACTAAAATTTTGGCTATGCGCGTAAATAATATTACTGGTATTTTGACGTTCAACACCGTTAATCTCATCGTCTTCGTCTCGTTGTCGAAAGAGCACTGAAATTACGTATAGAGGATAGGCCGAGGACTAAGGTTTTATGACTAAAATTTTTTTTATTCCTCGGAGTATTTTAAATTCTCCTACATTTCATTTATTAATTTTAACTTACAGAATTTGAGATATTCTGTGAACGGGAAAATTAGTCATTATTATGGACATGAACGACGTGGACGTATCGGTTTGCTGAGATCCTACCGAGTATTTCGGATCTTTGACTTCCCAGTTGCATTTTCTTAAGACTGTCTGATAAAATATTTTGTAGCCCATGAAATTATCTAACGAATGGTGTATACTAGTTGATATTTGCCCTAGATGAAAGAAGTGGAATGACGAAAATAAAAGTTAAGATCATTTAAGGAGGGAAGAGTTTTTTTTGCTAAAATGTTTCTAGGGCGCCGAAAAGGATTTTTAAGGTCTAAAAATATGTTAGGGTTAATCGCGAACAAAAATTGCATCGGATGAGTTAACATAAAACTGATTTGATAGGAGGCCGATTTGGGCTCTTACCGTCCCCCGTCCTTTACGTGATATATGCTTTGCACATACCTAACAAGAGAAAGTTGTACATAAACTGCGTAATATTCTGTCTGAAAAGAAAACCGGAAAGTTATCGTATTCCGAAAGTTCTGTGAAAGTCCATCTGAAATTTTCATCGAAACTAAAGTTTTCGTATGCTAATCAGTGATATTGGCAGTCGTATAACTCAAAACCTGAACAATACCGTTTTTCAAAAAAAGACTCGACCTATAATACGACTTGTAATGCTAACGAATTACGGATGCCTCTGGAAAATGTCTAACTATTTTTCTGTCAAAAGAACAAAGGTTAAGCTTTTGTCTGAAAGTTTCTCTTTTGTCATAAATAAAATATTAATATTTAATATCATTTTTTCTATATTCTTCGTGTAACAATAGATGCTGCTTAAAACAATTTCGTAACATCAGATGATACCTTTAAAATATACAAATCAATTAAGTCAAGTATAGTACAGAAAAGAATATATGAGTAATTTGCAGTTTTATTGTACCGTTAAGAGAAAAAAATGAGCAAAAAAACATTTTCGAATGTAAAGAAACTGAATCGTACATTTCATTGTACTGTATGAGACGAGAACAAGGAAAAATGTTCCCAATTGCCATCATCAAGATGGCTGAGATAAGAGAGATTTTCGAATACTTTTCGAAATCAGTAGTATACACCATTTAATAGATCTCGATGAGACGGACGCAATGGTGTGCGTCGCGCCCACTGTCGACGAAGCTGGTTCTACTTGCAACCGAAAACAGTAGATTTTCAGCAATAAAAAGACTTTTGAATACAAACCAGTTCTAGTGTATTAATAAAAAGAGACAAAGCGCCAAACATAGTTTAGTACATGAATACAGTACTACCAAAACAACTTCGCTCGTTACTGATCTACTGCTTTACTGGTTCATTACCGGTACAAAGAGTTGGTTCAATAGCCATAATCTCGCGTGACATTTTTCAGTAATTCTCAGTTTCCTTGCGAACCGTAAACTCTCAGAAGCTGTTCTTTTCATAAGACGTTGACCCCGATGAGTAGTTAAAAGCAGTCAAGTTTCGCGTCAAACGGTCAAAAAATGACTTTAAGAACTTTAATGAGACAAGATCTTCGTGACCAAATGAGAAAAAATCAAAATTACGACTGATAGAAAAAATCCGGCAGCGTCGAAACTCGTCCACAGACGAAGCTATTTCATTCAAAATCTGCACGATCGCAATATACTTAGATCTAAGTTTGAGTGTGCGAATGTACTTTAGAAGTGAAACTTTCTGATATGATAATGAATGAACAACTTCTAAAACAAAGTGAAGTACTGTATGTTATTAAAACATTGATTGCTAGAAAAGAAGATCATACACTGATATAAGCAAGATTAGATCGATTCGTAGCGCATAAATAGTTCAAAAATTAAATCAGAATGCATTATAATGCTTGAAACAACCTCTCCAGCCGGAATAGCTCAGTTGGGAGAGCGTTAGACTGAAGATCTAAAGGTCCCTGGTTCAATCCCGGGTTACGGCATAACTTTTTTTAAATTCTTCGTTGTTTGTCTTTATGTATTGGTGAATCGTGAAAATTTTTTAAATTCTAGTATAACTAAAAAATGCTCTTACTTGACGTCTTCGCGACTTGAATATGAATGGAACCATAGGTTTAAAAAAGAAGTGCAAAAACTTTTGATAAGTCACGTATTCTGTTATTTCGGTTTTTGTGCGCCTCGATGGGCTTTCTTCTGATTCGATTATATAACCGTTGAACAAGCGACAAAACTTGGACATGATGTGCTACTTATCAGTCCTTAGTAGACAAACCTTGAAGTGGAAAAAATTTCGATAAATTAAATTCTAGAAATTTATAAAATAAAATTTCTCATTCAAAAAAGAACATAAAGTAGCCAAATCCAGAGAGACTAACAGACTTCCTGGAACACTTTGTACTACAAGTGTTCGAGGAAGTCTGTTAGTATCTACAAAGTTTGTAGAAACAAAGTCAAGTTTAGAATGAAAAATACAGAAAAAATCAAAGATGGATGTGTGAGTTTCTCGTTACTTAACACATTTTCTACAGTTTCGTAATATAAAAAGTGCATAATATGGTGGAAGTAAATCAATAGGTGATGATGTTGCTTCATGTGTATGTGCTTGATTTTCCCCATCGGATGAAATTGTATGGGTATGATAACAATCTGTACATCCATTATTATCAACAGAATTCAACCATCTAAAACTACCGCTTTGGAAACGACTATTTAGTGGTGCCTTGAGATCGTAATACATTCTTCGTGTATTTTGGGTTCTAGTCTTACCAACATGATTGTGCATAGGCATTTGGGCTTGTGTTAAAGCTGTTCCTTGAACCTGGATAGTTGGTGTAACAGATAATTGGCTACCAGTTAATTTAACTGCATGTTTATTACCTGTACTCAAAGGACAATGTATGAATTAGCACGAAACTAGTGAGCAACTTTTTTTACCTGCCCTAACGATGAAACGGCCTCTCAAATCCGGTGCTCCATCTGTTTCATTACAGATAGCCCAGCCTTGTCGAACAGTAGAACGATGACCACTCCTGAAATGAAATTATTAAATTGAGATGCCTCAAACATTCCACTTAATTCTTATCTTACCATAGCAAAATTCCACCTTTTGGGATGAGAAAAGAATCAGCCACAACTCACTACCACCACCATCACTCACTATCACCACCACTCACTGTCACCACCCCTCACATTCACCAGGCATTATGGTATGTCAAATGCCTACGTTTTACGCGCAAAATAAAACTACCAAAAAGTATTTTTATTGAGTTTTATTTAACAATAGCTCAGAAACTTCAATCCATTTAATTCTTTTTTTTAATGTTTTTTCAAAAAAGCTTTTAATCCGGAAAAAATTTCTCCTAAAAAATGCTCCATTTTTGCCTCTACCCTCATACTTCCAAATGTTTCGTTTTCACGCGAAATCGGAAATACCCAAAAAACGTTTTCCTATGATTTTTACCCCAAAATCTTTTTTGATGTTTTTGAGCTCACTGAAGTGCAAAATCCCGAAAAAGCTTTTCGAAGCACCATCGCATCTGCTTCAGAAGATGAAAAATCACATTTCTAAGTTGTCCGAGAATTAGGACAAATCTCTTATTGCAGCTGTCACCGCCGGAGGCTATTATTAACTATTAGCGGCTTCTTGAAGGTTCATCATTTGGTCTAACGAAATCGTCACACATGTTACCATACACCTCCATTTTCTGTTCTCATCCGCTCCTGTCCAAACCTTTCTATTCTTAGGTATCCGAGTTTTTCATTGGGTATTTACATACGTACACTGAAGAAGATATTCGAAATGCATTTATACGTGTGAATTTTTACTGTCATCGTCATTTCCTAACTCTAATTTTTACTTATATTTATATATATATAAAAAAATAGGCTTTGTACCAGAAGAGAAAAAAAATTTTATCTGGCATTTTTCTCCAACGGCAACACAACCACCTGGCTTTTTGTTTGGTACAGAAAACAAATTGTAAAGAAACTAAATTATTTCACGATCTTTCTATCAGTTTAAAAGTCGTTATTCACTGGGTGTTTTTCTTACATAATAAACTGCTTTTTAGAAACCAAGCGATGAAATACAAACAGATGGATTCTCTTTTTGTATATCATTGACAACAAAAAGTTCGAAAGTAATACATATATATATATATATATATATTGAAACTATAACGGAGAAAGAAACTAAATTAAATGAGAATTTAATTTATCAAAATTTTTTCCACTTCAAGGTTTGACTACTAAGGACTGATAAGTAGCACATGTCCAAGTTTTTTCACTTATTCAACGGATATATAATCGAATCAGAAGAAAGCCCATCGAGGCGCACAAAAACCGAAATAACAGAATACGTGACTTCCCCGAATTTTTGCACTTTTTTTTTTAAAATTCATAACGCATCAACCGAGCGTTACTTATGTAAAGAAACTTGGATTTTACAAGTAACTTTAAAGGGACAACTGAACTGACATATTTGTGTTGAAAACCAAACTTTGACTGCTTTATATGCTTTTCTGGTTCGCTAGAATTATTTGCTTTTTTTTAATTCTTAGGCTATTTATTGCTCATTTTTTGGTTTAAATAACTGACCCATGAGTTTGACGCCTTCCTGTCGCCATCATTTGATCATCATTGAAATAGTTAAATTATGAACTGTCTGACCAGCCGTATTTTTGTGCAAAAATACTTCCTTCGAGCGAAAGCACAGGAAGAAGCTTCAAAATATACAATTTTAGGCATCAAATCCCGATGTGAAAGTAAAAGTGAAAATTTTTACCGAAAGCTCATTTGGTAACAATGAAAACTTTCTTGAATATTTAGCTTGATGCCGTCCATTGAACTATGCAAGAATCAGCTCTTCATATTGAATTTTGAACAGAAATATATTGAAACTTGGACTTGATATTGGTAAAAATTTAATCGTGAACGGACGTGCACAATATTTGCCACTACTAGTAAAGTTATATTTACACATTCGACTATATGGTAATAATGTATCATCGCTGATTGTTGATGATGTTTTACCCCAAACAGATTTTTGGATTAAACGGATGAATGTGCAAAATCTTTTGTCCGTGAGGAGGCTTATTTTATTGCTAAACCATTTTAAAGTGCATGAGATTTATTTTTTTGTTCGTGAGACTTAGACATTTATTTGACAACAAAAAAGTAAAAAGAACCAATACAATAAACTAAAACCAAAAGAGGTTGTTGCAGGGGAAAAAACAGAAAAAGCGCATACTGCCCTTATTAGACTGTGACCCTTCTAATTTTGACTAAGAAAATGAACAAAAAGAACGAGAGAAAGATAAAGAATTAAAGCTCTGAGAAGTTCTTTAGTCTGTGCTTGAACAAACTTATGCTGTTAGCTGAAACAACGCGCTCTGGTAAGCCATTCCACTCAATTGCCGTTCTGTGAAAAAAGGAATGCAGGGTGGTATAGGTCTTGAAAATATCAGCCACCCTAACTGCTCTATGATAAGGAAATTTAGTGTCGTAAACAACCGAACAATAGTCTAATTTACTCACGATTAGAATGCATGCCTTGAAAACAGTTAACCTCACCAGGACCGGTGCATCCTTAAAACTATAGTACATGGCACCTAATCTTCTACGGCAAGCCAGAATAAGATCCTCAATATGATCTTCCCAATGTAAATTAGAAGATAAACGGAGACTCAGTAGCACAGTAGAGTACTCTCGGTTAATAAACGAACCGTTCACTGATAGTGTAAAATTTGTGTGTTTGAGGCTTATGAGTAAAGAGTAACCAAGAACATTTATTAAAATTTAATTGCATTAAATGAGAATCACACCACGCACTTATACGATCCACATTTTCTTGACATACAGAAGACGGGAAATTAGTTGAAAGAGGGCATAAAAGTGAACAATCATTGGTAAATAGAGCCACTGTTGCAGGTAGTAAACTTGTAGACGGGAGGTCATTAATAAAGATAAGAAAAAGTAGTGGTCCCAAGATTGAGCCTTCTTTCTAAAAAAAAAAGGCTCCATACTAAACCATTAAGATTTCGTGTATTGCTTCGAAACTTTTAATAGTTTTGTAACGAAATTTCGAAATTCAGACGGTTTGTTAGATGGTATGAAACCTCAAAGCAAAATTTTTTTCTACAAGGTTTTGTACAGAGTATACGAAACCGGCGAAGTGGTTTCGTAGCATTAAAGATTTAGTAGAAATTTCACAAAACCTTACGTGTTTCGTATCGCATTAAACACTTCTTCGATGAAAGAAGAATATGTTGAAAAACCAATAAACAACTGGTAGCAGATATTTATTAGTCTTAAGATAGTTATCCGAAAGACGTTGTCTATTTGAAGCACGCGATTTATGTGAATACCATTAGATGCAGCCATTTTTTCTCTGCTGCGATTGGCCTGATACAGAAACCAATAAATGACAGAATGTGAAAGATGACTATTTTATTTCTTTGGCTATGTTCACACTACGACTTAAGCAGCTTAATTTTTTCGCCTTAAGGATTCTGATTGGTGTCTTAACTTTTTCTTCGTAAAGGCACCAATCAGAATCCTTAAGGCGAAAAAATTAAGCTGCTTAAGTCGTAGTGTGAACATAGCCTTTGCTTTTTGCATGAACTGTCTATCTATCGCTTATCCATAGAATATCTAACACCCATTTTTCCGTATTTTGCGCACACACAGACAACCATTTCGTAAGACCCTAGACTAAAGTCAAGGGAACTTCATCGGGGAAAGTTAAATCTGCTGTCTTCCCATACCATTCCTTCCTCGGTTAGTTAAACCAAGTTTAGAAATGACACCGTTCATACGATCTAAAAAAGTTCAATAACGGTTAAGGATTGAGGAACATCTTCTTTGGGAAAGCCATGTATCTTTTTGCATAGCTGAGTGTACTTGCTTTATTATATTTAACAAACATAATAAAGCGCTTGAGGCTAGCAACTTGAAGTTTAATAATACTTCAAGTTTTATCATTTGCTGATCTTTCATAATTCACTCGTCACATGTGAATAAGAATTAGTATGATGGGCTACTTGATGACTGCTTGGCTGGCTCTAGCAACTGAGAGTATTGGGTTATAGAAATTCGGTTAAATAGCCAGGCTGGCAAGTTTCCAAACTGAATTGTTAGACTAGTATAACAAACTGAGTGTAGAAAAAAGAAATAGAGTTGCTTTTCTTTTACTTACAACTGATCTAAATCTGATGCACAACCGAGCACAATGACTAATTCTAAGATTCTAAGATTGTTTATTCACGAAAAGTGAGAGTCATCAAAGGTCACCGACCTGTAATAACAATGACTCCGAGTGTGTAACGAAATATGACCTATTCTTCCACTCTCTTCTAACCATAATTCATCTCTCTCTCTCATTGTGTGAGGTATTCATTCACTCTCTTTTTGTATGTGTTCAATGTCACTTTCTGTAGTTAATATCAATATCGAACTTCAGACGTTTTGTACCATTATTGTAAGCATATACTGGTATTTATTCGAAGCTCGTTTTTTCCCTGCTTTTGTACCACGCAGAACTGGACAAGTCAGGATTTTTTCAAGTCTCAGTCAACGAAAAGATTCTTCAATTCAGCCAAGTCTGACTTGACTTGTCCAGCTCCGGTACCACGTTCATTGAAGTCTAAGAAAATACACGTATCAATTTCGCATAAATAATTCCGATTAAATATTGAATTTTTCTGCATGAATTGTATGAATGAAAAAATCTGTCTGTAATATACTTGCGGTTACTATCGATATACAGTCCGCAAGGGAGAGCTTTACAAAACAACATAAAATCGGCTAGCTAAGAATCATAATTACAAAAGGTCTGATTGAGGAAATTAAGAGGTAGCCGAAATATGATCATCAAGTTTGTACGAAACCTTTTTTGCTAGGGTTTAATACGAAACCTGTTGTACGAAACCTTTTTATCAATAAAAAAATAGAGGTTTCGTAGCTGAAAGCCGGAACCTAGGTTCGTACGAAACTTAAAAGGGTATAGAAATGATTGCAATTCTCTATACCCTTCTAAGTTTCGTAATAAACCATTTTTTTTTAGAGAGTTGGGGCACACCGAATGGAACGAGGACCTTTTCTGAAAAAGAGTTTCCAATACGCACCCTCTGGGAACGATTGGATAGATAACTGGAAAACTACTGAAATGCTGAGCCTGTTACCCTAACGAAGAAAGTTTTGTCAAGAGAATCTGATGGGGAACGCGATCGAAAGCTTACTCGAAGTCAAATTGTACAAGAATAGTATCAATTCCCTCATCTAAATTTGTGTAAACTGAGTGTGTGATGTATAGAAGCGCGTCAACGGTTGATGATCGAGAACGAAAACCAAATTGTGACTTAGAAAAAAAGTTATGTTTAGATAAATAAGCGAGAAATTGTTCATGTATAAAACGTTCAAGCACCTTACTGAGTATACTTAACAGAGATACTGACCTATAATTATCTACAGTAGCTCTAGGACCCTTCTGATGTACGGGAATAATATCAGCAAGTTTCCACATAGATGGATAAATGCCGTTTTTGATAGAAAGCGAAAATAAATCATCGGTTTGATCAATTAAAAATGGAGCACATTTTTGTAAGAAAGAAACCGGTATACTATCCGATCCCGGTGCTATTATCTTAGGTACCGGTGCTATTGACTGATAATGGATGCGGACAAGGTCCTTGCTTAGGAATGAAACATTCAGTAAAATACATATTAAACATTTGAGTTTTAGATGAGTCAGTTGATGCAACGATATTACTCTCCTTTCTGAGTAAGTTTACCGGTAGATCATTTCCGCCCGAACGAACAAGGTTTATTCCGTTCCACAACTTTTGAGGACTTTTAAACTGTTCTGACAGTTTTGTTAAATGAGTGCGTTTAGATTTACGTAATTCATATGAGACTTTATTACGTAATTTATTATAAGTACTCAATAACGATGGCGAAAAGAGTTTTTGAAGTGTACGAAAACAGATGTCACGCTTTCTCCGAACTGTAGAATATTGATTACTTCGACGGTAAGGAAGAATAGGACGTTGCTTTCGACATTTTAAAGGAACATGGCTATTTACTAGATTATCTAAAATTTCCTGAAACGATAAGAGTGCTGTGTCCACATCCCCAATTCGAAGAAAAGAAGAAGATGTGATATCTGTCAATATTGGAGATAGATTTTCCCAATCACACTTACGAAAATCACGTTTATAATGAAGACGTGGACTGCTCAAAGTAAATATATTGGGAAAAGAAGACTGTAGTAAATAATGACACGATTTACCAAGAGCATCTGACAGACCAAAATCCGGCGTCGACCACTCTGAAGGATAAACATTATCTAGCTTAGATTGATGAATTGTAGTCGGCAATGCAGTGGATGGTATTAACTGAAAAAGATTAACTATCTCATATAAACTACGATGTAAAAGAAGATGAGTCACAGGATCTGAGTTGAAATTACCACAAAGAACAAGAGAGTTCTGTACACCAGTCACGTGAGTTAACAAAAAACTTGATAACTTGTCATAATAAAAATTTTCAGAGCCTGGTTTTCTATAACAACAGCAGAGAAAAACTGTTGAGGAACGAAGAGTAAGTTTTAGTAACATACATTCTAATTCAGAACAAGATGCTACAATTGAAAAAGAAATAGAAATAGGTATATAAGTAGCTAAACCTCCTTTAGGGTTATAATCACCTGTCCTAACTCTGTCAAGCCTTACAACAGTAAAACCCAGAATACTAATCTCACTATCATCAATATCGTCAGTAAGAAAAGTCTCTTGGAGACTCACAACAGAAGAAAGATTTTTTGACAAACAAAGTTTTAAACTATCGAGGTTTCCTCGTAGCCCTTCAGTATTGTGACAGATGATATTAAAAGGTAAAATACTTGAGACAGGAGAACTAGAAGATGAGGAACAGCTACTTACATCATCGTTAAAAACACTGTTTTAAACACTTATTCATCGAGCTAGTCAATTTCTTTGTCCCAGATGAATTTAAATGAATACCATCACGTAAAAGCATTTTATCAGTATAACGGACTTTAATCACATCAGTATAATCATCAGCCAGCGACGCAAGCCGTGCGTTAAATTCATCCGTATCAGCTTTAAATTGATCAATTGTTGGCTTTAGACCGCTAACACGTATATGTGGCAATGTTGTTAATGCTAATTTTGTATTCGGATAAGCGAGTTTAAATTCTCGAATTAAGTTTGCTGTTTTCTCAATAGTCACATCCGGAGTATCATATTTCATGTTGACAGTGCCAATACTCATGATAAAACCTTGCGATTTATCAAAATGCTTCCATTTTACAAGTTCTGTCATCTGTTCATTTGTGCATGATGGTTTAGTACGAACTTGAACTTTAAACACTTTACCATCTAATGTAGACTCACCTCGTTCAAGATCGCGAGTGATACTCGTACCAGTAATAGAAATCGATGGAGGACGTATGTCTCCATTATTATTTGATGTTTTCGGTGTTGATCACAATTTTGAATTTATATCAGGCGGCACTGAAATACTTCAATTAATAGGAGAATGTAATGAATCGGTTGATAAAACATTTGCATTCAATCGAATTGGACTTGATAGCTGGATTAAATTTGTCGATGAGCGTACATTGATAGAATTTATATTTCGGCGTACATTGATCTTCGTGACCAAATGAGAAAAAATCAAAATTACGACTGATAGAAAAAATCCGGCAGCGTCGAAACTCGTCCACAGACGAAGCTATTTCATTCAAAATCTGCACGATCGCAATATACTTAGATCT